ATAATTTTTTCCAGGCCTTTCCATTTCCTAACAAATGGGTCAATGTCATTCTTTCTGATGGAGGCATAGAATTCCATTGTGTATATTCACCACATTTTCTTGATCCATTCATCTACTGAGAGGCATCTGGGTTGGTTCCATATCTTAGCTATTTGATCAGTTTTCTATTGTAGAGTATGGACCACTGTCTGTTACCTAGTAGGTATTTAAAAATAATTCTGAGTCAGGTGCCCCTGGCTTATACTTGAAATGCTAGCCACTCAGAAGGCTGAAATCTGAGGATCACAGTTCAAAGTCAGCGTGGGCAGGAAAATCTGTGAGACTGTCTCCAATTAACAGCAAAAAGCCAAAGTAGAGCTGTGGCTGAAATGGTAGAGTGCCAGACTTGTGTGAAAAATGCAAAGGACAGTACTCAAGCTCCAAGTTCAAGCCTCAGTCCTGGTGCAAAGAAAAACAATAATAACTGTGAAAAATGAGTGACAACTTGGAGGGGAAGGAGAAATTGACTCCATCAAACATCAATACCTACGATAAATTGTATCTTTTTTTTTTTTTGTCAGTCCTGGGGCTTGAACTCTGGGCCTGGGCGCTGTCCCTCAGCTCTTCAGCTCAAGGCGAGCACTCTACCACTTGAGCTACAGCGCCACTTCCGGTTTTCTGGTGGTTTATTGGAGATAGGAGTCTCACGGTCTTTCCTGCCCGGGCTGGCTTTGAACCGCGATCCTCAGATCTCAGCCTCCTGAGTAGGTAGGATTACAGGCATGAGCCACCAGCACCCGGCTAAATTGTATCTTTTACACAGAAGAATAAAAAAAGTAGACAAGTAAAACAGAGCATAAAGTTTAGAAATAGATCCTTCCCAAAACATAGGTACTATGTGTTAGAGAAAAGTATTATTAATGTGATGAAAGCATAGAGTATTCAAATGCTTAAAAACAAAAACAAAAACTTGTCTCAGGATTTGATTCATGCTCCAACCACACATAAGTAATCTAGCCAAAGTTGGATTGTCTTCTCTCATAAAAAGCATCACAAAAATGAACAAAAGAAGGAAAAGATCAAAACAAACAAGCACAGCTCCAGAAGGCTGGGCAGCATTCTCAGGGGCACGAACGAACGTTCTAGATTCATTCTGTCTGTTCCTCCTCCAATCCTTAGGTTACAGTTTCTGTTCCTAAACTCATCATCTCACAGTGGCAAAAGAAGGATTCATCTCTAGCTAATCTCTAGTTTTCAGAAAATATTTGGAACATGGTTTTTTTTGTTTTTTTTTTAGGGGGGGGTCTAGTCGTGGGGCTTGAACTCTGGGCCTGGGCGCTGTCCCTCAGCTCTTCAGCTCAAGGCTAGCGCTCTACCACTTGAGCCACAGCGCCACTTCCGGCTTTTTTCTTTTTGCTTATGTGGTGCTGAGGAATCGAACCCAGGGCCTCATGCATGCAAGGCAAGCGCTCTACCACTGAGCCACCTTCCCAGCCCTGGAACATATTTTTATAAGATGTAAAAAATACTAATGAAACTAGTTGATAATATGACTACATTACAATTTCACATGTCTCTGTGTCAAAGATACTATAAGCAGGGTTAAAAGGTAAGCTGCAGCCTGAGAGATGATTTTATTTACAATGCTATGACCATAGATGATTAATACACAGCTACATATAGAACTCTGTAAAATCATATTTAAATGTAATGAAATGGGCTTAGGATATTAATAGGCAAAACTAGGCAATCAATGTGTAAAAAGATGAAGTAACGTCTGTTTTGCAACAGTAATGACAGATAGTGGTTGGTGAGGATATTAAGAAATAGAAATTTCACATAACCACACATAGAAGTCCAACTTGGTGAAAACACTGTGGAGAAATTTGTTCCTCATATATTCAAACAGTCTATGATATAGATATTTCACTTCTGGATTAGCAAGGTTAATTGCTCTCATGTAGACAATAGAGACACACGTATACACATATACAATACAATATAATCATGTGCCATGTAATGATGTTTGGCCAACAATAGACTATACAACAATGCCTTATCATATAGCTAAGTATGCTATATATTATATATCATTTAGATTTGTGTAAGTACACTCTTTGATGTTTTTTGTTTTTGTCTGAGACTGGGACTAGAACTCAGTTCCTGATGCTTTTGCTCAGTGGCTGGCACTATACCAACTGAGCCATGCCTCTAACTCCTCGTTAATATTTTTTTTGTGTGTGCATACTGGTTCTGGTGCTTCAACTCAGGTCTTGGGCACTGTCCCTAACCTTCTTTTGCTCAAGACTAGTGCTCTACCACTTTGAACCACAGCTCTACTTATTTTTTTTTTCTGTGATTAATTGGAGATAAGAGTCACATGGAGCTGGGCGCTGGTGGCTCACGCCTGTAATCCTAGCTACTCAGGAGGCTGAGATCTGAGGATCGCGGTTCAAAGACAGCCCGGGCAGGAGAGACCATGAGACTCCTATCTCCAATAAACCACCAGAAAACCGGAAGTGGCGCTGTAGCTCAAGTGGTAGAGCGCTTGCCTTGAGCTGAAGAGCTGAGGGACAAGCGCCCAGGCCCAGAGTTCAAGCCCCACGACCGACAAAAAAAAAAAAAAAGAGTCACATGGACTTTCTTGCCTGGGCTAGCTTTGAACCATGATCCTCAGATCTCAGCCTTCTCAGTAGATAGGAATACAGGCATGAGTCACTGGTACCCAGCTTCTCTTTGATGTTTTTACAACAAAAATCATTAATGACACATTTTTTAGAATGAATTCTTGTCATTAAGCGATGATTGATTGTCTGTGTGTGTGTGTGTGTGTGTATGTGCCATATATCAGACTTCTAAAGTACAATTAAAGTAGCTGAGCCAGGTCTGGTTAGACTTAAGGATAAACCTCAAATTCCCACTAATGAGCAGAAGAGACATGTGGTATATGCTTCTAAAAGCACAATAGCATTCAGGAAAAAAAATGTTCCATACACAAAGAGCATGTGTCTGTTACAGGTTTGTTTAAACGGCTTGGGATACAGAGCATCTTCCTGCATTTTTCATTATAATCAAAGGTTTGATTTGGTGATAGGGATTTCAATTAGTGCTATATTCAGTTTAAAATATTTTTTAAAATGTTTAATTGTTGTTTAAGATTTTTCTTTTCCAGGTTCTCTGTAGCAATTACAGGCAGGCCCACAGAGAAGAAAATGATTTTTACAAGTTTGTCAGATGTAACTTTGGCTTTTAATAAGTTCCAGGTAAGATAATGTTCAGGGAATATTTCTACTGATCTCCTTGTTGCTTCATTTGGCAAAAAGGAGATGTTTGACAAAGACTCATTGAACTAAGGACTGCAGTTTGAAGCCAGCCAGCCTGGGCAGAAAGGTCTCTGTGAAACTCATCTCTAATTAACCAGAAGAGCGCTGGAGGAAGCAGGAATGTAGAGCTATGACTCTGCAATTTAATAAAATATTTCATGAAACATTTTCCATAAAGAGTTTTCAAATAATTTCAGAGTCATGGTTGACTCTGAAATTAATATAAAATGATTAAGGAAGGCTTCCAAGGCAAACACCATAGGGGCATAGATGTCTCTCCAGCTCTACAGAGCTAGAGAGCTCAGGGACAGCACTCAGGCCCTGAGTTCAAGTCCAGTAACCAACCAAGGGAAATGCCAATGGGGTATTATTCCAGCATGGAAAAGACACTCCTGGCTTGTGCTGGCAGTGACAGGTATCTAGCAGCAGTTAAAAGATACTGCTCAGATGACAGAAATGTTGTCAGATCCTGGAGTCACTTGTGCTTGGACTCTTCAAAATTAATCCAAGCCAGAAGATCATAAGAAAATAGTTTACAAGCATGCTTATCTAATACCCAGGTCTGTCTGCTTCGTAACTGAGCAGGAACTTATACCCTTGCCTGTTAGTCATCTGTTATAGTGGGTAGACAAAAGCTAAGGTTGTCAAATGGAGGATAAAATGCCAGCCCCCAGTATCTGCTCAAAGCCCTAGTTGACAGTAAATTTTGGGCTTGCATTAGCCACATAAATTCATCTGTTCAGGAAAGGAAGTTTGTGGACCTGAGATTGTTCCCTATTAGGAGCTGTCTGGGAACCTTCACAGGTAGCTATTATGCATTGTAATCTGACCTGTTGCAAAAGGTCAGATTCCCCAGGCAGTCAGGAAAATGCTTTCACAAACCTGATTGCTAAACAAGCTACAAAAGTCTATGCAGTTGTTAAAAGTTAAAATATTGTACATACTTTGTAGTCTGGGGTAAATATGGCTCCTAATGACATCTGATCCTGGAAACTCCTTGGTAAACTAGGCTAAGGTTTTAGGCTTCTGGCTAGGCAGGATCAAACCTCTCCAGCTTGAAGAGGATACAGAAGAAGGATCTTTGCCCATCAACTCCCCTTAAGATCTAAGGACCAAAGTCATTAAAAATAAGACAAAGTAGGAAAAAAAAGAAACATGAGAAACAGTGGTAACAATTGTGCAAGTGTAGAAAGTGTAGATGGTTGCAGTCTCAAGCCCTCTATGTCTGCCAAAAAATAGAAAAGTCCTAGCCTTATTAAAAATTCTGGTTAATGAAAGTTGTCACCCTGGTAAATTATCCAGGAGCCACTGCCTAAGTTGTCCAAAACAAAAACATGAAAACAATGGGGTACCAGTCTGCAAAGCCGGTGTACTCAGGGAAAGCAACCAGGAAACTACTGGGTGATTTTATGAAAGTCAGCCTCGCACCTTAGGTTAAGTTAAAAATGCTTCCTTAGGGCTGGGAAGGTGGCTCAGCGGTAGAGCACTTGCCTTGCATGCATGAGGCTCTGGGTTTGATTCCTCAGCACCACATAAGCAGAAAAGGCCAGAAGTGGTGCTGTGGCTCAAGTGGTAGAGTGCTAGCCTTGAGCTGAAGAGTTGAGGGACAGCGCCCAGGCCCAGAGTTTAGGCCCCATGACTGAAAAAAAAAGAAAAAGTTTCCTTAACCAGTCTGTGTAGAACTTGCAGGCAGCCCAGCAGGAAGTGTGCAATAACTTCCTGAGAGATGCTGAGATATACTGCTACACACTATTATGACCCAGCCCAATTCACCCCATTCCTTCCAATCTGGAGATTCCATTTGGGTTAAAAAGTTCATCAAGGATAGCCAGCAGCCTTCTAAAATGGACTCTATATCATCATCTTGACCACCCCTGTGGTAGTAAAGGTCAATAGCATCCCAACATGGCTACACTATTCCTGGCTCAAGAAGGAGAGAATGGAATGGAAAGCTCAAAGCTCCCAGGACTGCTTAAAGCTAAGATTTTTGCACATGTCTTAATTTTTGTCTTTGGGACTGCACTAGTATCTGGAAACTCTCATGAACCAGTAAGATGAGAACTCAGGAATGGCATTACTACAGAGGTCCTTACAATTCAAATTCAGGGTGGGGAAGAAGTATCCCTAAGTATAGATTTATGCTCCCGTTTCAGAGACATCATCTACAAAGGCCCTGGAAAGGCTGTGGAAGGGGGTCACTTAAAAGGAGGGTATGTGCCTGTAACAACTAGAGGCTGTGGATGTGAAAAATTACATGAGGAAGGATTACAAATTGTAGGAATATATGTATGTTAAGGTACAGGAAAGTCAGCCATACATGTTTAAGCTCAGATGAATTTTCTGCACATGCTGGGGATGTGAAAATATCTCCACCATTGAGAGGGAACCATGAAGATGGAGACATCAATCTATGTTTTAGACAGACTTCCATTCCCTCCTCCTGTAAGGTGAGTGCTTGCAACCCAGTACAGTTTAAGCCCAAGATCAAATATAACAGCGACAACTGGGACACAGAGGAAAAATGGGGCATAGGACTGTATGTAACAGAAAAGAATCTGGGTACTCTACTCACTATTCAAAGAAAATACCAGGGTAGCCCGAGGAGGACTACTCAGCTGGAGCTAGGGGAAGGTTGCTGGCTATTTTAAAATTCAAAACTCTCTTACTATATTGGGCTTGGTCTTATCAATTCACTATATAAGACCAGGGATTCTAGCCACTGTCAATGGCATCAGCCTCAACTAATTCTGGGAGATGTGCAGGGAACTGGGACTTGCCTACTGTCACCCAATTACCCCGTTTAGTGCTCCCCCAGGCTTCAGTTTGCAATAATACAATTGTAATAAAACAGTAGTTTTGAAGTATTCTACCAAGGTATTCTAACCATACCTGGTTTACCTATACAAATGGGCTGACCAGGTATGCCTCCTCTTCTATGTTTAAAGGCACACCTCAATTATGCATTCTAGTGCATCTACCCTCCATCTTGCTTATCCTAGAAGAAGAGAGTTCATCTCCTGGTACCAGTACTAGTGGGACTGGGAGTTTCAGGGTCAACTGTAGATGGAACTGCTGTGTTAGTAAAAGGGGACACCAACTTGTGGGAAATGTCCATTCCAATAGACACTGACCTTTGCCATCTAGAAAACTCCATCTCATGACTTGAGAGCCAAGTAGATTCCCTAGTTGAAATGGTCCTGCAGAAACCAAGGGGCCTGCACCTACTCTATCTCCAACAAAAGGGCCTATGTGACTCTGGGAGAAAATTGTTGCTTCTATGCACACAGTTTGGGGGTCATAAGAGATAGTCTGTCTCTAGTGAGAAAGAACATCAAACTACAAAGGGAAAAAGACAGGCAAGAGAAAGGATGGTTCCAAAATTTGTTCGATTGGTCTCCTTGGATAACTCATCTCAGCCATTGCAAGTCCACTCGCTATTATTGCTGGTCACCACGGTTGGGCCTTGTGTAATAAATTGGATTGCTGGAACTGTTCATAAGAAAATTAGCTCTAGGGGCTGGGAAGGTGACCCAGTGGTAGAGTGCTTGCCTTGCATGCATGAGGCCCTGAGTTTGATTCCTCAGCACCACATAAGCAGAAAAATCTGGAAGTGGTGCTGTGGCTCAAGTGGTAGAGCACTATCCTTGAGCTGAAGAGCTGAGGGACAGTGCCCAGGCCCAGAGTTCAGGCCCCATGACAAAAAAGAAAGAAAGAAAGAAAGAAAAGAAAAGAAAATTAGCTCTATCAAACCCTTCATGGTCAGACAGACCTATACTGAAATTCCCAAAAACATAGATGGCGAAAATGAATCAATGATTTAATTTATGCATAAAACCAGTAGGGATTGAAGTAGGTTATGCCCTGAAGCATGTAGGTTATGCCCAGAAATAACGCCACTTTGTCACCCAAAAGAAAAAGGCCCCTGATCCCCAGAGCTTGGTTTGCTTAGCAGTTCTGAAAAAAACTGCAAAAATTGTTCCAACCCAGTATTCTGGGAAGTAAGTTTAAATTTACTAATAATGCTCAGTTTTGCTTCTATCTAAGCCTTGCAAAACAAAAATAACCTGTACTTGTTTATCAAAAGGGATATTTTTTTTTCCTTTAAAAGACTAGCTCCTAGCTGTCTTGGGGCTGCATGATTTGGGAAGCCTATACCCCCGTGCAGCCACCAGTCTTTGTAATAAGTACTCCTATAATTTGGCTTATTAATTGTGGCATCCTTTGTTTTCTTGCAGGTTGGGTTACAGCATTTTAATCTCATTAGATTTCATTCCCAATTGCCCAATCCTTTGTCCCAGGGCAATAAGTTTGTTGATCAGAAGTGTTCCCTCTATTAAAACAGACAATACTCCTGCCTATACTAGTACTAAATTGCAAACGTTCCTAAATAAATGGCAAATTAAACATATTGCAGGAATCCCTTACAATCCACAAGGACAAACCATTGTGGAGTGCAGTAACTTTACACTTTTTATTATTTAATAATAAAAGGGGGCATAGGTGTAAATCACTGGACCCCTCAAAGAACAGATAGCAATGGTATTATATACCCTTAATTTTGAAACTTTGAATTTTCCATCCAATACTTCAGCAGCAGATAAACATCGGAAAGACATGAAAAAATTCCAGCCTATATGGCGGAAGGATGAAAACTGAAAACCTGGAACTATCGAAGTATGGGGTCGTGGTTATGCTTGTGTGTCCACAGGGTCTGCAGATATCTGGGTACCAGCCAGGAAACTAAAAGTCAGAAATGAAGATAAGATTATCGAACATTGCTGGAACTTCAGAAACAGCAGCGGACTGCAGAATACAAATGCAGAAAACTCCCACAGTGCCAGAGCTGACAGAGACAAGGACCAGAGACAAGGTACCGTGACACCCAGACCTGGAGAGCTCCCACTGCCCCACTGCTCAGCCCGCAGCGATGGAGTGTGGTAGCAGCCCCGCAAACCGGCGAGCTGCCGCACACAGCACCGCCGGACAGCCCAGGATCAGTGAGGACCCCGCTGGGGACATCCAACCCCCCCCCCCCACGGGAGACCAGCGCTGGCAGTGACCCACAGAGCCTGACCCGGACCCCTCCCTCTCCTGTCCAAGAAGGAAAACCCCACCTGCTGGCTTCCAGTGGGAGGCCACAGGGACTCACACTTGGCGGGTGCTAGGACCCTGCTGTCCCCCACAATACTGGCTAATGGGGGAGAGCACGTGTGTGCAGCTGGCCTGAGGATCGGAATCCACGCACCTGTGGGGACTGGTCCTCTCAGCCCAGCCTCCCTGACAGACAGGTCAGCAGCTGGCTGAGGGCTCGCCTGCTGGGAACCGCGGTGCGCATGCGCCAGGCTTTGCCAAACGAGTGCGAGTGCGCTTGCGTGTCAGACCTGGTCAGGAAGCACGAATTGCGGGAATGGGCTGGCTTCTGACAGCACCCCCCTGTTGGGTGGCGCTGGCCTCTGTAGGGAGCCGCAGGACCCGCCCTCCCCTGACTGGAACCGCAAATTGTGTGAGTGTGCCCGCAATGGATGGAGCGCCTAAGGCAGACCAAGCGCCAGCCACTGGGGGTCGGGGGAGAGAAACAACCCCGGACCAAGGCACAAAAACAATCTGTGCACCTGTGGGGAGCCCAGCCCTTCTAAAGCCAACACCCTATACCGGAAGCCCGAGTCTAACCTTCCCAGTCCCTGCTGCAGTCCGGACAGAGTGCCTTTCAGCTAGCCCGGGCTAAGGGTGTGCACAAGCACCAGCCGACCTGGGGACCCAGCTTGGGTGGGGCCACCCAGTGTGAACCAGCCCGGGGCCAAGTAAAGGCTGCAGGCAGAGCTTGGTCCATGACCCTGTCAATCCCTGAACCCAAATGGGTAAATCACAGTGAAAGATTACAAGATTCATGAACAGTCAAGACAACATACCAAATCCAAAAAACAGCAGCAATCCAGGAAAAAACGCCACTGAGAGTGAAGAAGAAATGGAGGACAGTATATGGGCTTAGGTTTTGTAACCAATAAAAAAAAAGTGGCTATCAAATAAGATAAAAAGAAAAAGAAGAAGTAGAGGACAAAAGAACAATTAAACATGTGATGACAGAATTGGCCAAAGAAATAAAAGAGGATATGCAAAAGCAATTTCAAGAATACAAAGAAGAAATATCGAAGGAGTTCCAAGACGTCAAAAAAGAGATGCAGACAAAAATAGATATGGGGTCTGGGAAGGTGGCTCAGTCGTAGAGTGCTTGCCTTGCATGCATGAGGCCCTAGGTTCGATTCCTCAGCACCACATAAGCAAAAAGAAAAAAGCCAGAAGTGGTGCTGTGGCTCAAGTGGTAGAGCGCTAGCCTTGAGCTGAAGAGTTGAGGGACAGTGCCCAGGTCCAGAGTTCAGGCCCCATGACCGGACCCCTCCCCCCAAAAAATAGATATGGTATATACTCCATTAACAGATGGAATTAACACTTTGAGAACCAATATAGGAACCATAAATGGTTCATTTTCCGCAATGCAAGCCACAATGGAAGCCATAGGTAACAGAATAAGTGAGAGATAGAAAATAGAATATCAGGAGGTGAGGATAAAACAGAGGAGCAGAAAGTCATTGGTATGGGGAAAAAAACCACTCCAAATTTACCAAAAGGAAGTCCAAGAATTGACACACAAAGCCAAGAAATCCAATCTATTTATAACTGGGATCAGTGAAGGGGAGGTAGAGGGATGCAACATTTATTCAATAAGATTATCACAGAAAATGTCTCCCGTCTTGAGAGAAAATCTTACCAACATAACAGAAGCATACAGAACACCTAGTAGACAGGATGCTAGAAGAAACACTTCTAGACACATTATAGTAAAAACATTAGACTTGAATGGCAAGGAGCTGATCTTAAATGCTGCAAAATTAAAGAAGGAGCTATATTACAATGAAAAGAATATCAGAATCACTGCGGAACTCTCCACACAAACTCTGAATGCAAGAAGAGCCTGGAAAGATACTATCCAAGCCCTGAAGATCAACAACTGCCAACCAGACTGGTATACCCAGTGAAGCAAGCATTTACATTTGAAAACGAAAATCTTTCATGACAAAGAAAAATTAAAGGAATTTGTGAACACTAAACCAGCATTACAAAAAAATATTAAAAGGAGGAATACAATTGGAAGAAAACAATCAAGATCAGGGCACCACATCAAGTAGAAATCACTAGAAGATCAATTAGTAAGCACAGGAAAAGGAAAGAAGCAAAATATAGGAAAGCAAGAAAATGGCAGGAAACACAACACATCTCTCTATAATAACCCTAAACATTATGGACTCAACTCTCTGATCAAAAGAAAAAGAACTGCAGATTGGATCAGAAAACAAGATCCATCCATTTGTTGTCTCCAAGAGACCCATCTCATAGCCAAAGATAAAAACAAACTCAGAGTCAAGGGATGGAAAAAGATCTTCCATGCAAATGCACCCAGCAAGAAGGCAGGAATAGCCATACTGATTTCTGACAAGGTAGACTGCTCATTGAAATCAGCACAAAAAGTCAAAGAAGGTCATTACATATTAATACTGGAAACAATCCATGAAAAGGAAATCACAGTCATCAATTTATATACAATGGAGCACCTAAATATGTTAAACAAATACTCTCAGACTTACAAAACAAGATAGACCCAATAGTAGCAGATTTTAATACTCCACTTTTACCAAAGGCTGTACAGGTCAACCAAACAGATTAGCAAAGAAGCCTCTGAACTAAATGACACCATATCCCAAATGGGCTGGATAGACATCTACAGAGTTTTCCTCCCAACAATGACCCAATACACATTCTTCTCAGCAGCCTATAGAACATTCTCCAAAATAGATCATATCATAGTTCACACAAAGAACCTAAGAAAATACAAGAGGATTGACATAATCCCTTGTATCCTATCCGACTATAGTGGAATCAAACTAGGTCGTAACAACAAAGCATACTGCAGAAATTACTCAAATACAAGGAGGCTGAACAGCATGCTGCTGAATAACGACTAGGTCACAGAACAAATTTAAAGAAGAAATTAGAAATTTCCTACAATTCAATGAAAGTGAAAATACATCACAATGTAATGTCTGGGAAGCAAAGCAAAGCAAAAAAAGCACAGCAAAGCAGTGCTGGGGGGAAAGTTCATAGCCCTTAGTGCACACATTAAGAAAACAGAAGCAGCTGAAGTAAATAATCTCATGATGCAATTAAAACTACTAGAAAACAAAACAAAAATAAATCTAAAGCTACTAGACAGAGAGATAACAAAGATTAGGGCAGAAATCAACAAGATGGAAATTTTAAAACTATATATAAAATTAATGAAGCAAAAGCTGTTTTTTTTAAATTAATAAACATGACAGACCTCTTGCAAGATTAAAGAAAAAAAGAGAGAAGACTCAAACTAATAAGATCAGGAATGCCACAGGAAAATTTACAACAAACATCCAAGATATCCAAACAATCATAAAGAACTATTTCTAAAATCTATTCTCACTAAAGAAGGAAAACCTGGCAGAAATGGAAACTGAACCAAGAAGAGATAAATCAACTAAATAAACCAATAACATGCAATGAGATAGAGGAAGTAATCAGAAGTCCCCCAACAAGGAAAAGCCCAAGCCCAGATGGATTCACCATTGAATTCTATAAGACTTTTAAAGAGGAACTAATACCAATACTCCTCATACATTTCAGTATAATAGAAGCAAAGCTAGCAATCCAAAACTCATTTTATGAAGCCAGTATCATACTCATCCCCAAACCAGGTAAGGATGTAAGGATCCAACATTAAAAGAGAACTACACAGCAATCTCTCTGATGAACACAGATGCAAAGCTCCTCAATGAAATATTAGTTAACAGAATCTAGAAACAATTTTTTTTTTTTTGGTCTGTCATGGGGCTTGAACTCTGGGCTTGGGCGCCGCCCCTGCGTTCTTAAGCTCAAGGCAAGTGCTCTACCACTTGAGCCACAGCACCACTTCTGGTTTTCTAGTGGTATATTGGAGATAAGAGTCTCATGGACTTTCCTTGCCTAGGCTGGCTTTGAACCGTGATCCTCAGATCTCAGCCACCCGAGTAGCTAGGATTACAGGTGTGAGCCACCAGCACCCGGCTTAGAAACAAATTTTTAAATATCATACATTATGACCAAGTAGGCTTCATCCCACAGATACAAGTCTGGTTTAACATATGGAAATCAGTAAATGTAATTCACCATGTTAACAGCGCCAAGGTCAAGCACCACATGATCATTTCAATTGATGGAGAAAACGCCTTTGACAGAATGCAACACCCATTCATATTAAAAGCTCTGGAGACCCTCCCCCACAGTATAACCCCTGCTTTCACTGTATTTGATGTCGGTATAATTTGTGGAGGGGAAGGGGAAAAACAAATCGTTTAAATAGGGATACAGGTGGACCCATTGCAACAATGAGATGTACAAGTTGTTATGTCGAAAATGAACTTTACAACTTTGGTGGGGTGGAGGGAGCAGGGAGGATTGGGTGGCGGGGCAGGGGGAGGATGGGAAGGGATGGGAAGGGGAAACAAAGGAGGAGGCTACAATGCTTGATAAGAAATGTACTCATTATCTTACCCATGTAATTGTAACCCCTCTGTATTTTCACAATAAAAAATTTTTTTAAAAAGCTCTGGAGAAACTAGGAATAGAAGGAACATTCCTTAAAACAATAAAAAGTCATATACAACAGATCAACAGACAATATTGTACTAAATAGGAAAAAACTAAAACCATTTCCACTAAAATCAGGAACAAGGAGAGGATACTCACTCTCTCTCTACTCCTCTTCTACATAGTCCTAGAATTCTTAGCCAGAGCAATAAGGCAAGAAAAGGACATTAAAGGGATCCACATAGGGAAAGAATAAATTAAACTATCCCTATTTGCAGATGACATGCTCTTATACCTGAACAACCCTCCAAACTCCACTTCCAAACTCCTACAACTAATAAACCACTTCAGCAAAGTAGCAGGATACAAAATTAATCCACAGAAATCAGTAGCCTTTCTGTACACCATAGGTGTACAAGCAGAAAGGAAAATCACAAAAACAACCCCGTTTGCAATAGCCTCAAAAGGAATAAAATATCTAGGAATTAATCTAACCAAAGATGTAAAGGATCTATTTAGTGAAAACTATAAAAATCTAAAGAAAGAAACCAAAGAGGACAACAGGAAATGGAAAGACTTTCCATGTTCATGGATAGGTAGAAGTTATATTGTGAAAATGGCCATACTACAAAAATGATATACAAATTCAATGCAATCTCCATCAAAATCTCAATGACGTTCTTTACTGAAATAGAGAAAACAATCCAAAACTTCATATGGAACAACAAAAGACCTAAAATAGCCAAAGCAATTCTAGGCAAAAGAAACAATGTAGGAGGGATCACGATACCAGATTTCAAGCTCTACTATAGAGCCATAATAACAAAAATAACTTGGTATTGGTACAAAAATAGACCTGAAGATCAATGAAACAGATTAGAAAACCCAGAAATAAAACCACATACTTACAGTCAGCTGATATTCAACAAAGGAACCAAAGACATACAGTGGAAAAAACATAGCCTCTTCAACTATTGGTGCTGGGAAAACTGCAGCCACATGCAGAAAACTAAAAATGGATCCCCGCCTGTCACAATGCACTAACATCAACTCAAAATGGATTAAAGACCTCAACATCAGACCAAAAACTCTGAAACTACGGCAAGACAGAGTAGGAGAAACACTAGAACTTATACGCACAGCAGGAACTTCCTGAATAGAGTTCCAGTGGCACAACAGATAGGAGAGAGACTCGACAAATGGGACTACATTAAAATAAAAGTTTCTGCACAGCTAAAGACATAGCTAATTAAACTAGAAAGACAGCCAACCAGTTGGGAAAAGATCTTTACTAGCAATACATCAAACAAAGACCTAATATACAATATATACAAGGAGCTCAAGAAACTAATCAGTCCCAAATCTAATAAACTAATCACTAAATGGTCAAGAGAGCTAAAGAGAGACTTCTCAGAAGAAGGGGTAAAAATGGCAAAGAAACACCTGAGGAAATGTTCATCATCCCTGTCTGTAAAGGAAATGGAAATAAAAACCATCCTGAGATACCACCTTACCCCAGTCAGAATGGCCTACATTCTGAATTCAGACAACCAATGCTGGCAGAGATGTGGAGAAAAAGGAACTCTACTGCACTGCTGGTGGGAATATAAACTAATACAACCACTCTGGAAAGCAGTCTAGAGGTTCCTCAGAAAGCTAAATAAAGACCTTCTCTATTACCCAGCCATATCATTCCTAGGCATCTATCCTGAGCAACTGGAATCAGGATACAAGGACGCATGCACTTCCATGTTCATTACTGCACTGTTCACAATAGCCAAGATATGGAAACAACCCAGATGCCCCACTACAGATGAATTGATCCAAAAAATGTGGTATGTATAGACAATGGAATTTTACACAGCCATTAGAAAGGATAAAATAATGGCATTCACAGGAAAATGGAAGGAACTAGAACAAATCATGTTGAGTGAAGTAAGCCAAGATCAGAGAGACAAATGGCACATAATATGCAGTGTTAGACTTAAAACTCAACAAGATATGACAAAGTAAACAGGACTCAAGATACCCATACACAGTGAAACCAAAAGAGGATAGTCTTAGGAGAAAGCACCAAATTGTAATACTCAAGTACCTCTTCATATGTATATAAAATAATATACATACTGAAAAGAACCCTAAAGATAAGGAGACAAAGGACTTCTTAATTTGTTATATCATTTTTAGATAACTCTTTGTTCCTTACCTCATATATGGTGTATAAATGTGTACTTCTGAGGGAAGGGGAGGGGAGAGCACAGAATCACTGGAAAGCAGGTGAAAAAATACAGCAGAAGGGTCCATCAGCTATACTGGACACTGATGAAAGTGAATTAAGCATCAAGAGTGGTGATGGGAGGGAGAGAATGAGAGAGAAAGAGGGAACAGCTGATACTAAGCAAAAGGAAAGAAATGTACATATCACGATAGATGTATATCACCTCTAAAACATTAATAAAAATCCTTTTTAAAAGATTAACATTGAGGAAGCCCTGGAAGGATCCTTTAAGAGGATAAGGATAACTGAAGACACCAGGAGAACAGTCCAAACTAGAGCAGTGACCATTTGCACCTGGGAGCAGATGAAGAGCTTTATCAAGAAGCTAAGAGATGCTTAGTGGACAATGGATGGACATGAAATTAATGCATTGCCTTTGATTGTAATGATGATGGTGTATATTCAAAGTGCTGGTGCTTCTTGTACCATGCAAGCCTCTGTTTGGGGTTCCTATGCTGGGTATACCATTGTACTTTTAAATTGTCCTTTCATATGCAACAACTCAGAAACAGGACCTAGCCGGGTGCTGGTGGCTCATGCCTATAATCCTAGCTACTCTGGAGGCTGAGATCTGAGGATCAAGGTTCAAAGCCAGCCTGGGCAAGAAAGTCCATGAGACTCATATCTCCAATGAACCACCAGAAAATCGGAAGTGGCTCAAGTGGTAGAGTGCTAGCCTTGAGCTGAGGGACAGCACCCAGGCCCAGAGTTCAAGACCCATGACCGACAAAAAAAAAAAAGGAAAAAAGAAAAAAAAGAAAAGAAACCGGACCTGTCCATTGGTATAGAGACAGAATTGAAGTATTTAGTCAGAAAAGACTTGAGGGGCCCTGGATAAACATATCTGATCATTTTAAGAGAGATAATATCCAGTTTGACACAGTTACACTTATCCTCCAGAGATGAAGGAAAAATTTAATTCTTCCAAAATACAGAAAGGCTACCAAAAGAAAGCATTCTGTGTGTGTGTGTGTGTGTGTGTGTGTGTGTGTGTGTGTGTGTGTGTGTGTGTGTGGTGTGGTTTGAACTCTGGGCCTGGGCATTGTCCCTCAGCTCTTCAACTCAAGGCTAGCCTTCTACCACTTAAGCCACTGTGCCACTTCCTCGGTTTTCTGACTGGTTTATTGGAGATAAGAGTCGCATGGACTTTCCTGCCTGGGCTGGCTTTGAGCCACGACCCTCAGTTCTCAGCCTCCAGAGTAGTTAGGATCACAGGCATGAGCCACTGGGGCCCGGTTAAGAGGCCCGGTTAAGACAGTGTTCTTACGAGAAAAAATGTCACCATATATTTGGCCCCCAAATCAGAATACCAGTTTTCCAAATTTATGAAGTCAATTGGCCCTTAATACCGTGAATAAAAATTCCTTTTGCATCTAGGAAGACCCTTCTGTACAAAATATTCTGTTGCAAGATTTAGCTGGTCTAAGTAAGGTCTCAGAGTCAGCTTGCTGTTTAAGTCCCTGCCTCCTGTCCCTACTTATTTACAAAAGTCCATTAAGTTTCTGTTTCCCCAATGCTGCATTGTTTTCCTGATACAAATTCCCACCCCAGTTGCGACCGTCTCATTACACTCCTCAGAATGAGACTTTCCCCTCAATTCCCATAGCCATGTAATACCTCCTTCTCAGAACTCACTCTCCCCCTGAATTTCCATGGTCCATGTAATGTGACCCATGTGACTGCCCCCTAAACTTTTGTTTAAATTCCATCCACACCTGTCCACTCTGCTGCCTCCATTCCTGCTTGAAGCAGCCTGGCAGATCTGTCCCCCAATAAAGCCTTGAGCCTGTATTGGTCACTTGCCTCTCATTTCTTACAGCTGGACTTGCTGTCAGCTTAGAAGGGTACAGAAATATAACTCAGGATGAAATTAGTCAGCAGGAAGATGAGATCTCAGAGGATGAGTGAACTTTAGACCTTGAATTTATAGTCTATCATAAGTGCTCGTGTTTCAACTACGTAGATGACCTTAGTAATTGTTCCTTTGTAAGAAGACTTAATTTGTCTAAAGGAAAAAGATTTGGCATTGGCTGGTCTTTCTTTTGTGAAGGAAAGGCATATCATGCTCTAAAGAAAAATTATTCAGGACTCTGCTATGTTGGGAGAGTGGTGTCTCTGTTACTTAGTAATTTGACCCATCAGAATGAGGGATGTATGAGACGTGATCTCCCCCCAAATTGTGATGACAACCTTGTGCTATTAAATATTGCTGATATGACTGTAGATGAAGCCTTTATTCTGCCTGTTTCTGGGCTTGTAGAACATGTCCAAAAATTTCGGGAGAAATAAGTCAGGAAATGAGGGAGTTGAGAACAGAAATTTTATAAAATTTAGCTGCCATAGGTTATTTGCTATTAAAAAATCATTTAGGATGTGAGCAATTTGAAGGACTGTGTTGTTTTAATATAATTGACAATTCTCAAAAGATTCAGAACCAACTGGAGCAGCTCAAAAAAGAACTGGGCAAGTTAAAAAGCAATAATAACTGGGGACTTCCAGAATGGTCTTCCTGGATTTGGCCCCTTCTAGACCCACTAGCTTTCATATTAGTGATTATTTTGCTGACTCCCTGCCTATTTCAATGTCTAGCTTCTAGCATCTGCTAGCTCAAGCAGAAATGAAAAGTATGCTTTTTAAATAATAAGAAAGGGGGGCCAGGCACTGGTGGCTCATGCCTGTAATCCTAGCTACCCAGGAGGTTGAAATCTGAGGATCACGGTTCAAAGCCAGCCCAAGCAAGAAAGTCTGTGAGACTCTTATCTCCAATTAACCACAGAAAACTGGAAGCAGCACTGTGGCTCAAGTGGTAGAGTGCCTTCCTTGAGCTGAAGAGCTCAGGGACAGCGCCCAGGCCCAGAGTTCAAGCCCCACGATCAACAACAACAAAAAAAAAAAAAAAAAAAAGGAAGAAAAGAAAGGAGGAATTTTAAGAATTATGAGGAGCCCTGTGCCAAGCCAAAGAGCCCTGTGCCAAGCTGAAGCTGTGAGGTCTGAAGGGGGCAGGAGATTGGAATTCCAGTCTATCAGTAAAGCTCCCAGAATGCTGGGGGCTGGGGCCCTGGGAAGATTGAGCAGTCTAGGCAATACAAAGTGTCAAATTACAGCCCTAAGTATGTTAAGATGAGAGTCTGTGGAATGTCTGTGCCTCATGTTAATGATTGTAACCCTAGCCTTTGCACATATCTTTGGTCCCCTCTCCCTGTACTAAACTAAATAAAAACTCTTGTTAATGGGATTCCAGAATCCGACAGCAAGAAAAGCTTTAGGTCCCCTGGTCCTCCAAAACCTCAGTTCTTCAGCTAGTCTCCCATCATTGGATTCCCCCTTTTCCTGGTTGTGGCAGACTGCAACAATTGGCTGTTCTTTCAACATCTGTGCTCACCTCAATTGTTGGTTAAATTGCTTTCTCTTTCTTCACATTTTCATTAGCATTGATTAGTTATACAGGGGACTCATTCTGACATCACCATATATACATAACAGTGTGCCTTAAACAGACTACCTCCTCTATCACTCTCCTTCATTTGCTAATCATTTTCTTTTGTGTCTGTCCCCCCTGGTCCTCCAATAACACACACCTATTGGGGACTCCTCCTAAGTAGAATCCATTTGTGTCCCACAGTGTCCAAGGCACAAAGTGGTCATCAGAAAAGCACACATACAAAATGAAAGGAAGTTAATATCTCAAGATAACATAATTGTCATCCCTTCTGCAATATATCATCCTTTTTTCCTTTGGAAATCATTATCATAAAGACATCAGCCAAGATAGAAGTCAAATGGAGAGAGTTCTGTAGGTTAAAGGGAGAAAGTGTGAGACCAGATTATGTTGCTTATAGAAATGTATCTCCTGATGACTGGGAAACAGTGCCAGGCATCATTTTATTTATAGAATTCAAATCAAATCACCAAGAGGCAAAGATCAGAGTAGGTGGAAGTTCAGCACACAATTGACCCCTCACAGCTGTCATTTCATCCTGATTTTAAGGTTGAAAAGAAAAAAAAATAGACTGTTTTGCAATCATATCCTAAACACATCAATGACTTTCTTTTCCCTACTATAAGTAGGGAGTGGAGGATAGTGCAGTCACAGAACGATCTCAAGGAGAGATCAATGGATACCTGGACTGGGCCAGGTACCAGTGGCTCCTGCCTGTAACCCTAGCTATTCAGGAGACTGAGATCTGAGGATTAAGGGTTGAAGCCCAGGGAAAAGTGTATGAGTCTGATTTCTAATTAACTAGCAAAATGCCAGTAGAGCTGTGGTTCAAGAGGTAAAGTCCTAGCCTTGAGGGGGGAAAATGTACTTGGAAGAGCAAGCAGTTGGGTGAAGGCATGTAACAGGCTTGCTTGGGAAGTACCACCTATGGGTCTGCTCTGTGGGCCTTTTGAATACTAATAGCCACCCAATGGGTGAGTCACTGGTAGTTCATCATATGTCAGATGTTGTGGTAACCACTTTCAGTCCATTCTGTCATTTTTGGTTTTCAGGACAAATTACAGGTTCAGAATTTATATCCCCTTTAATTTGAAATTAAAGGTCAGGAAGTTGACACGATTTGCCCATGGCCATATAGCAAGGACTACAAAAGCCAGGATTTGAACCATGCAGATTTGGGTTGACTCCAAGTTCTGAGTTCTTGACTATTCTTATGAAACCACTAGAAGATAGTTTTTTTTTTTTAATGTGCCAAGACTGGGACTTGAACTCAGGACCCTATGTACTGTCCTTGGGTTTTTTTTTGCTCAAGGCTAGTGCTCTACCACTTGAGCTACAGCTCTACTTCTGACTCTGTGTGTGTGTGTGTTTGGAGATAAGACTCTCAGGGGCTTAAACTGTGATCCTCAGATCTCTGCCTTCTTAGCAGCCACTGACAATGGGCTTGAAGATAGTGATTATTTCCTCTATCCTACAGATGAGAAACCTAAGGCTCAGGGATGACCCAACTGGCCCAAGTGATAAAGACAGTTTCAGAGACCAACCAGGTCCATCATATTCCAAAAGAGGAAGACGAAGCAAGACCATGCCGGAAAGCTACTGCAGATCAGGCCTTATCCTTTCCTCAAGAACTGTCACCCACCCAGTCCTAAACCTCCTCCACTTAGAATCTTCTTTTCACTGCCTTAATTCCAGGTAGCCTCTGGGCTGAAGAGTAGCCAGGGGGGTCTTGGATAGGGTCTAAAAACACCACTTTTCAAGGATTCTTGAGGAAAGGAAAGGCCAGGACACCACCAGCCCCAGCTCACACAATTGAGTAAGTCCTGTAAGTAAGTAAGACCCACAAGTGCTTGCATAAGGACCCAGTCACATTGGGTTCAAAAAGAGCCTTGAAGCTCTGATTTAAAACCATCTATTCTTGGGCAGACATGTCACTAGGGCTTTCCGCCGTATATACGCACACACACATATATACATATATATATATATATACACATATACACACACACATATACATATATATTATGTATATATACTTAATTTAATATCTTCCCTTCCTCAACGATTGGTTCTATTTTACAAAAGAGGAGGCTAGGTTCCTAGAGGTGAAGTGAGCAGCCCAAGAACAGCAAGTTCCTCAGGAGCCTGCGACTTGAACCTGCCCAGGCCCCAGATCCCTGATCTGCTCCTGGGAGCCGTGGAGGGAGGAGCTGCTGGAGCTGAGAGAGGAGGGGAAAGAGAGGCCACGCTCCCAGCAGCGCGTGCTGACGACAGCAGGTGATTTCCCCCCCACCTCCTGCGGTCGCGCTTTCTCTCAGCATCTTTCCTGGATTTATCCGCGCTCTCCCCGCCACCCGCCACCCCCCCCCCCCCCGCCCGCCAGGCAGAAAAGGGTGGGGCCGCCTCTCTGCAGCAGCGGCGGCGGCGGCTGCAGCATCGTCGGAGGCAGCGGCAGAGGCAGCAGTGCTGGGGCTCCGCTGGAGGTGACCGTCTCCAACCCCTGCCAGGAGGCCTGCAGTAAGGAGAATCGAGCTAGTCTGCCCTTCCTCTGCGCCATGGCTTAAGCCCGCAGCCACCTTGCTTTGCATTGCCTGGTTCCACCAGGGTCTGCGCTGGGCCGCAGCCGCAGGGAAGGGCGCGACCCAGACGCCCCAGCCCGGGATCTCCCACGCTGGGCCCCTCAACCTTCGGCGCCCTGCAGCTGCGTTCGCCGAGCCGTTTGCAGCCGGTAATCGAAGGACTTTGCGGACCTTATCCCAGCGATAAGCTCTCCCCAGGTGCTCTCTGAAGGAGGAGGGGGAGGCAGCTGGCTGGTTGGGGTTGGAAGCGGTGGGAACCACGTTGGCGGGTTGGGGGTCGGGGGCTAAAGGAAGACCAGAGACTTGTTTTTAAATCATAGAGATTCGAAAAAGAAGCGAAGGAGAAAGCGAGCTAGTTTTGCATCTAGCATCATGGCGTGGCCGTGCATCACGCGGGCCTGCTGCATCGCCCGCTTCTGGAACCAGCTGGACAAGGCAGACATCGCCGTGCCGCTGGTTTTCACCAAGTACTCCGAGGCCACAGAGCACCCGGGCGCCCCGCCGCAGCCGCCACCGCAGCCGGCGCCCGCGCCCCCCTCGGCGCGAGCGGTCGCCATAGAGACGCAGCCGGCCCAGGGCGACTCGGATGTAGTTGCCCGGGCAACAGGGCGGGCCCCGGGGCCTGGCGGCCAACGCGAGGCTGCGGCTGCGCCAGGCCGGGGCGGGTCGGGCCCTAGCGTGGGCTCCGGCTCCACCTCCGGCTCCGGCCCTGCGGACTCGGTGATGCGGCAGGATTACCGCGCCTGGAAAGTACAGCGGCCCGAACCCAGCTGCCGGCCGCGCAGCGAGTACCAGCCGTCGGACGCGCCCTTCGAGCGCGAGACCCAGTACCAGAAGGACTTCCGAGCCTGGCCCCTCCCGCGCCGCGGAGACCACCCCTGGATCCCCAAGCCTGTGCAGATCCCCGTGTCCTCTCAGACTTCCGCTCCCATTCTCGGGGCACCCAAGCGCAGGCCGAAGAGCCAGGAACGCTGGCCCATGCAGTCCGAGGCCATGGAGCAGGGAGGAGCTGGTGTCCTGGCGGCAGGAAAGGCTTCGGGTGGAGATGAGCGCGACACCCGCAGGAAGGCTGGGCCCGCCTGGATGGTGCGCCGCTCTGAGGGCCACGAGCAGACGCCGATGCCTGCTGCTCAGACCCAGGCCGAAGAGGGAGGCCCGGCGGCGGGAAAGGCATCGGGTGGAGATGAGCGCGACACTCGCCGGAAGGCTGGGCCCGCCTGGATGGTGCATCGCACCGAAGGGCACGGGCCCGAGCAAAGCCCGATGCCTGCCGCGCAGACCCAGGCCGAAGAGGGAGGCCCGGCGGCGGGAAAGGCATCGGGTGGAGATGAGCGCGACACTCGCCGGAAGGCCGGGCCCGCCTGGATGGTGAGCCGCTCCGAGGGACGTGAGCAAACACCGATGCCTGCTGCTCAGACCCAGGCCGAAGACGGAGGCCCGGCGGCGGGAAAGGCATCGGGTGGAGACGAGCGCGACACCCGCAGGAAGGCCGGGCCCGCCTGGATGGTGAGCCGCTCCGAGGGACGTGAGCAAACACCGATGCCTGCTGCTCAGACCCAGGCCGAAGACGGAGGCCCGGCGGCGGGAAAGGCATCGGGTGGAGATGAGCGCGACACCCGCAGGAAGGCCGGGCCCGCCTGGATGGTGAGCCGCTCCGAGGGACGTGAGCAAACATCGATGCCTACTGCTCAGACCCAAGCCGAAGAGGGAGGCCCGGCGGCGGGAAAGGCGTCCGGTGCGGAGGAGCGCGACACCCGCAGGAGGGCCGGGCCCCCATGGATGGTGCATCGCACCGAAGGGCACGAGCAGACGCCCTTGCCTCCAGCCCAAACCCAGGCCGAAGAAGGAGGCCCGGCGGCTGGAAAGCCATCCGGTGCGGATGAGGGAGACACCCGCAGGAAGGCCGGGCCCGCTTGGATGGTGCGCCGCTCCGAAGGCCACGAGCCCTCCATGCAGTCCCAGGCTGCAGGCCCTGATGGTGGCAAGGGACGAGCAATGGCAGATGCTCTGAACCGGCAAATCCGCGAGGAGGTGACTAGTGCAGTGAGCAGCTCCTACAGGTGAGATGCAGGCAGCAGCTTCTGCTGTGGGGCTGGTCACCCCATCCTCTGCGGAGGAATGCTCAGGGTCTTTCTCCCCTTCCGAGGAGACATTTAGCCTGACATTTAAGCCTTCTCTTGTTTACCAGACCACACCCTCCTCTAACCACATTCCAGGCTTCTCTACCCTGGTCTGTGGAAAGTCTGTTAGTATTGTCCATCCTAGTCTCCCCAGCGCTCTCTCTCTCTCTCTCTCTCTCTCTCTCTCTCTCTCTCTCTCTCTCTCTCTCTCTCTATCATTTTAGCCACCTTTCCCCCCACCCTCCCCCTGCTCAGATCCCTGCTGCCCAAAAGAGACCTTGTCAGTTTTTCCAAAGCTGATCTGTCATTCCCTCTCCCACCCAACTTACCTGCTGCCTTAGCCTGATGCTGCCCCTACCACCGTGTCCTCATACTAGAAAAATTCCTTCCAAGGGATTTCTCCCTCACCTTGCTAGCCCACTTCACTTGGCCTTCATTCTTCCTCTCTTCTCAATCCTTGGGCTACACCCAGGCACCACACCCTTTTTTAGATTGCCCACAGGATCCTTCCTCCTCTAGTACTCCTACTACTTTGAAGCCATCTCTCTCCCACCCACCCCCTTTGGTTTTTGTTTTGTTTTGTTTTGTTTTGTTTTTACTGTGACTGACACATTGGGCAAGTTATTAACCTTCATGTGCTTCAGTTTCTTTTTATTTGTAAGCTATAATTGATAATGGTTATCTCTTAGGATTGCTCACAAATTTATTGATATTAGGTTAATTAACTCATATATATATATATATATGTATGTATGTATACATATTTGCTTGTGCTGGTCCTGGGGTTTGAACTCAGAACCTAGGTACTGTCCCTGAACTTTTTGCTCAAAGCTAGTGCTGTAGCACTTGAGCCACAGCTCCACTTCCAGCTTTCTGGTGATTAATTGGAAATAAGAGTCTCATGGACTTTCCTGCCCAGGCTGGAGATCCTAAGATCTCAGCCTCCTGAGTAGCTAGGATTATAGGTGTGAGCCACTGGCACCCAGCTTAATTCATACATATTTAAATACCTACTATAATACTCAGCACTGTGCTAGGCATAGTAAGGATTGAGGGAGATGATACAAGAGACCTCTCCATGACTACCACGTAGTGGCAGTTGGTTTTGTTTCCATTACTACTTTCTTCATCATACAGTTCTACATTATTTCTATACATTTCCACTTCCTAGTGCCTCCAGCCTTCTCTTCTAAGTGAGGTATCTCCTTTCTCTCTACATCCTTTATGTTTTCAGATGTATTTCTTATTCACTCACCACCAAGAACTCCCTCTTTAGCACATTCACATTCCTTGTAAATGAATGCTTTCATGCACTAAAACACCCAACCCACCCCCAACCTCTAGAATTCTCCCTGTGCTGCAGCCTCAGTTCTTCTGTCTCTTTTCTTGCCCTTCATCTATTCAGTATATTTTTCTGGCTGCTTAGCTTTCAGTCCTGCCCTATTGTTTCAACCAGTATCAGTTAACTAACAGCTTCCAGTTGATGCCGAATATGTTACCCTGGGTTTGAAGGTCTCTGAAGAAGCAGATGTGCACAATGAGTAATTAAGCTAGATGCATTCCAAATGTGGCTTATAGGGTCCTTCATCACTGCCACAGCCATTTATGCCTTCCTCCTGCAGGAGGGTGCAGTGGGGAGGACCACAGAGTTAGGGTGCTATGCTAAGTCCGTGTATGCGGCTTTCTGTCAAACTGATGTCCTGCAACGAACATGAGAAGCACTCCCTCTTATGTTGCAGAAAGACAAGACCCACACAGACAATGCCTTAGAATTTCATGTTTTCCTACATTTTCATGTCTTTTACTTCCCACTTATACGTTCTTTTTCAATCTCTTTGTTTTTCTTTCTTTCTCTCTCTCTCTCTCTCTCTTTCTCTCTTTCTCACACACACACACACACACACACACACACTCACTCACTGGCCTTCCAGCAGTAGTACTTCACTTCCTTTCAGAGAAAGCCCTGGGTGAGCAAGGACACATCTCCTTTTCCTTTGATAGTCCAGGGAGTGGAATGTTCACAATATTTTTAATGCTGCAACTAAAAGAAGATTAAAAGAGAAGAAAGGAAGCAAACAATCAAGGGCATAAAAATGGAATACCAGACGTAATTTTCTGGTTCTATTCATGGCTGTCTTGTGTATATTCCCTGTGAAGTCCAAGGCTAGCCAAACATCAGAGATTCTTGGCACAGCTGCTTCATCTTCCTACTCCCCTACTACCATCTGGTGGCAAGGGGAACCTTATCACTAAGCAGGCAAGAGTTCCCTCTTCCACCTTCATGCAGTTAGTGCCAATCCAGATAGAGGCAAGGTTCTCAAAGTTGAGTGGCCCTCTCTGTTCATGTTTTCATACTGGCAGAGGACTTGCTTTGTTCATGGATGATGGAATGACTGCACATGTCAGATACAACTCACTTCAAATTTTGGGCTGCAGATGACACAGGAAAAGGTTTTATAAATCAAATTATCATTGAAATGGAGTCTTACTTTGTTTACATTATGGTGACTAGGTCCTTCCATAGGTTTTAAATTTTATTTATTTACTTTAACAACTTCTATGTAGTTTTTTCCCTTGCAACAAAGCCTGAGTCTGAAATAAACAGGTCATGCTTCACAGTTCTAATCACATGCTGGAAAGGGCTAGAACTGGGTAGGGGAAAGAGATTCTCTTGCTGTTGGGGTGAATGACTGTTTTTGGCATTTATTAGGAGTCTCCCAACCTTTTAAACAATTATTAAACATGTCACCTTTTATTGTTATTATTAAGTAGAGGTATAAAGAGGTTACAATTCCATAAGTCGGTTATGAGTAAATGCTTTTTGACAATGTTACCCCTTCCTTCATTTCACATTGCTTTTTTAAAAAATTCAGGTCTTCTATAAAACATAATTACACAGATGATTTGGGTACCATCAGTTCCATTTTGCTGTATAACCAAAAGAGTTTTAAATCATTAGGAGAATGAATGTTGCTAAGAGACATAAGTTTCTGTAATGAACACCTTGAATGCATGACAAATTTGATGTGAAATTTAACAGTTTTTTGTCCGGAAGAAAAATAATTTACCAATAATTAGGAAGTGTACTTTGGATGAAAGTAGATATGAAGAATATCAGTAAATACGCCGTAGAGGAAAAATACTTAGAAACTATAGGGTTAATTGTTTATTTATTTTCTTCCCTATTTTCTGATACCTTTTCCTTGCTTTGATCCTGGGTATGTCTTGAATTTAACTATGCCCCATCGCCACCATAAATGGGCCTTAAATCACCATAGAAACCAAATAAGGCTCCATCTCAAAGATAATTTGATTTACCAAACCTTTTCTTCTGCCACTCTACATAAATCATGGCATGTTTACACCATGGTGACTGGTTCCTCCCATGGGTTTTTCAAGTGACATCCATCACATGGTATCAATGTGAACAGTTTGCTTGAATAGGGAAAGGACACATCCATCAGCTTAATGAATTCATATATAATGTAAAATAGATGTTCAACATTTAGAACCATGTATATGTATATATATATGTATATATATACACTAATACATTGTCAGTAAATAATATTGAATATTCTTTGGCACCATGGTTTTGAGAAAGTTTCCTTATGAAACAGTACATCTGATCCATAATCTATTCCTACTTGCCTGGAATTTTTTTCATTCAAGTGGTATCTGAGGTGTCTTTGGAATTATTCACAATCATGAGGTTTATTAATTTTTAATATACTCATTTTACATTGACAATATTATAAAATTGAGAGGCATGTCTTTATTACCATTTCTAATGTTAAGAATGAATTTCACTGGGAGACCATTTATGACTTTAGACCTGGCATTCTCAATTAGAAAATAGATGAGTCATAAGGAGGAGATTAAAATTCCCTTTCCAGCCAACCCCATTGCCCTGGCCATCAGTTAATAGGGATAGATGGGGTAGCAGGTGCTCCCTATAGAAATGCTAATGAGAAACTTTTCTTAGAAAATATCAGCTGAGACACTAGGAGGTAGAATTAATAAACCGGAGGCAAAATACTTGAAAAATGAGAGCAATAACAAGGAAGTCAGAAAGAAAAAGAGCCTTTGATGTCTGCCCTCCAGCCTTGCATGAAGGTTAGAGAACAGTTCATTTGACTTAGTTTATGTGACAGGAAATTGCCCCATGCTCCACCTGCTCATTTTCCTTTTGCCTTAGTCCCAGTAGCACCTCAAAGCTGATCTCAGATGCCAAATCTTCAGTGACATCTTCCTAGGTCCTGCCATTTAAAATATTTTTTTCTATTCTCACTTTATTGTCTTACCACAGTCTGTTTGTCAATACTTTTGCTCATATCTTTCCCCCAACCATGAGCACTGAAAGAGCTGTGTTTGTATCTTGGTGCTGTTTTAGATTTGTTAATGCAATGGAATTTTGGTGAAATTTTTATTCACTTCCATACACACACACATATGCATACATACATATACATATACATACACACATACACACATGTTTTTGGTAGTACTGAGGTTTGAACTGAAGTCCTTGTACTTGCTAGACAGTCTCTCTGCTATAAAGCTATACTTCCTCCAGCCTTTCTTTTCTCTGGTTATTTTGAGTCAGTCTCACTTTTTGCCCAGGACTGTGCCTAGACCATCATCCTCCTATATTATGATTCCCCCACATAAGTGAGATGACAGGTACATCAACACATTTCTTCCATTGAGATGGAACCTTGTGAATTTTTTTGCCCGGCTAGCCTAGAACTATGATCCACCTCATCTCAGCTTTTACATAGCTGTGATGACAGGTGTATACTAGTGTGTCCAGCTGTTGGTTGAGAAGGAGTCTCCTGAACACTTTCTCCTGGCTGGCCTTGAACAGTATTCCTCAGCCCTCAGCCTAGGATTGCAGACAAGTAGCTGGATTTGCATATATGAACCACTGCACCCAGTTA